ATTGGTGGCTTTGGTTAGAAAATCTGGACCTAGCAGATTCCCCCAGCTAAGTCTGGTGCTTGCAGAATTGGAGCTGGCCTTCCGTGGGCTTTAGGTTGCTGCTGTGGAGTGGTTTTACATTTAGATCACTGTCTGTTTTATTCTCCCCCCGCCCCACCCCAGAGTCTTAGTGTCAAGCTTATCGAGTGAGAAATGAATTCTTAAAAGCAGAAACTACATTTTCTGTGGACAAAAAATACGCCTCACCAGCATTTTCCCTTTGAAGAATTCTTTACGTTCATTGCCTTATAAGTTAAAATTTTTATCTTCCTGACTAGACATAAAGAATTTTTGTTTCAAAGGCACATTTTATTGATCAAGTATCCATATTTATGGTTGTGGAATATATTACGGGTTAGAAAGTAAAATATGTATGTTTGATATTGATAGGCCAGAAATATAAATGTAAATGTAAGTTATCTTTTTGATAGGTGGACTAAATTGTTATAAAGGGAGTAGTTGGATCAGTATCTGGGTAGAATGATAAGGGGAGACCAGTATGTTGAATATTCCCTGACTCTGAGCCCCACCTGCTTCAGGTACACCTTTGGAAGACCATACTGTGGATTCACCATTCTGGTGGTTCATTCTCTGGGTGACAGTGGCACAGAATTAAGCAAATTAATTTGAGCTTTGACCAGCACTACCGTGGGGCTGTTTCTCTAGGGCCAACCAGACGCATTTTTCTGTTCTGGTTTCTTCTCCTGTGACATGAGACCAAATACGAGTCACTAAGATGAAACTAGTGGTGAAGTTAAGAAAAGTGTCCTCTACCCCCAAAAGGGAAGATATTTTTATCACTTCAGAAATCATCTTTGAAATTTATGTTGAAACATGCAGTGGACTGGGATTAAGACTATCTTTTTAAAATACAGGAATAGGGGGTACACAGGTGGCTCAGTGGTTGAGCGTCTGTCTGCCTTTTGCTCAGGTTGTAATCCTGGAGTCCTGCAATTGAGTCCTGCATCGGGCTCCCCATGGGAAGCCTACTTCTCCCTCTGCCTATGTCTCTGCCTCTCTCTGTGTGTCTCTTGTTAATAAATAAATTAAAAATATGTTTAAAAATATAGGAATAGGATACCTTTTAAAATATTCCAAATAGAATTTTTGTTTTAAATCTTACTTTATAACTGTCTATTTTGTGTACATGTTAGGTAGGTTTTACTGCAGGATAAATGATGGTCATGTATTGTAGCTTTATAGATTAAAGGAACAAGAACAAAAAAAAAAAAAACCCAGTTTTTCAAAAGCCAAATGGTGACATATGCTGTGTTAGAGTAGTCCAGGCAGATCCGTCTCCTAGGCAAAAGTTAATTTATATTTTTATTATTGGTTATATTGTATTGTTATTTTTCTAAGTCAGCAAACAAAAATATATACCTACGTACAGTTAGATATCTCTAATCTGTTGTTCTCATCAGTTTGTGTATGCTTAGCCTGGTCTAATCTGTTATCTTTGGTTACTTAAAATTCCAGGATGTCCCCAAGGTCTCTTTCTTGCCTGTTGCTCAGTGTTCTCGGGGTCTGGTCTGTGCAGCATCTGCTCCAGAGTTGCCTAGGGAACTTGTGAGTGGGCGGCCTCCTGGGTCTCCTGGGCCTCCCACAGGCTCTCCCACCCTTTTTGTCTCACTGCCACACACCTTTTGGATATATTTGGATCTATATGTTTGTTTAAGCGACTGAACTGTTCTTTTCTCGGGGAAGAAACATCTACTTACCTCCTTTGCCTCCTTTTCCAAAATATAGCAGAGCCTTTATCTCTAAGATGGACAAGTTGGATTTGGCCACCAAGAGTCCATATTTTCTTCTTAGCTGCTGGCTAGGCTGACATGTTCACTAGGTGCTAGTTTGATGATCAGCCGACTTCTGACACAGACTGGCTCCTTTGATGGTTGCCAGCCCAAGCATAAGCCAGGAAGAACCTTCTAAACCACACACACAGTAAGTAAAGTGAGGGTGTTAAATAGAATGCAGTAGACCTCATCTATGGTTTGGGGGGAAATTAACTGGGGGAGTTATTCTTGTTTCATGTTACAACAGGTATAAAGTTCACTTAGAAATGTTGTGTCCAGGGATGCCTGGGTGGCTCAGGGGTTGAGCGTCTGCCTTCCACTCAGGTCGTGATCTGGAGTCCCAGGATCGAGTTCCACATCGGGCTCCCTGCAGGGAGCCTGCTTCTCCCTCTGCCTATGTCTCTGCCTCTCTCTGTGTGTCTCTCATGAATAAATAAATAAAATCAAAGTGTCAAGTCCAGAAAAATTTACCATTTAAATGTTGAAATTTAATCCACAAGAATGTAAACTCCCCGGAAGCAGGGCTTGGCCTATTTGGTTGCCATATCCAGATCATCTCCTAGAAGAGTGTCTAGCATATGGACATTCAAATTCATTGGGTATATTAGTGAATATGTTGATTGATTAAATACTGGATACCTTGCCTGCAGTTTTTAACTTGTCTACCATTTTTATAAGACACATAATCTGTATTTCACACATTTTTTGGACAGTTGGTATGATTTTCATTTCTGACTCTAGAATTGAAAGCCAATAGATTACGCATTTTTTTAAAATTTATTTTTTAAGTAAATTCTACACACACAGCATGGAGTGTGAATTCACAACTCCCGAGATCAAGTTACATGCTCCACCGACTGAGCCAATGAGGCATCCCTGAAAGCAGTTTACTCTCAAGAGAGCCTTGTATAATGAGAAACAGGTAGAGCTCTGAAGCCCAGAAGAAGTATGTGGTGGTAGCTCTGAAGTGGCCACACGGTGTCCTGCTGGTCACCTGGCATCTCCCTGCAGGGCAAGTTAGGAGGATGGCGTGAAATAACACACGAAACCTTGCAGGCTCTGATGTGTAGTAGGCATTCTAAGAAAAGAGCTTTCTTTTCTCAGGGTGAGTTGACTTTTTTTTAACGCTTCTGAAGTTGGGGGAAAAAACCCACCTGATTGCTGATAGTATAAAAAGAATAGTAATGATTGCTGTTATTGACAGACTAAATCTTGAAAGTGCTATAAACTAATGAGAAGGAAATGAACTATTACATCATCACCTGGCATCACATCTACCCTGAAAATTTGTGTTCTGCCAGTTTTAGCCATTTAAAACTTAATATTTATAGGCTTTTACAGAGTAATGATAAAAATATTTGTGTGGCAAAGATACAGCCAAAGTAATTTTTTTATTTGATGGGTATATTCAGGGTACATACCTGGCTTATCCTAGAAGCTTCTCTGTGGTCAGCCTTCATGTTCTCCCCCAGGGCTTCCTTTAGGAATCTTCCCTTGGCTTACTCACAGAGCACAGATAATTTTGGAGAGGATCCATGTGTGTTCTTTGTGCACACACACATACATGCATCCACGTACACCCACACACTCAGTGCCCACCCTCTCTCGGGCACTCTTTGTGGGGGGGGATTATTGTTGGATTCATTTGGGTGGGAGTTGGGCAAAGAAGATGGGGTAAAGAGTTTTGAGAAGACTTGGTAAAAACTCAGTTTATTAGGCTTTTTTTAGAGTACACTTTTAAGTGCTTTCATAGAGCTATGAATCAACATCAGTTTTACATATAATGATAAAATTTAGAAACCCCACCTACAAAGTATTTCTACAAAAATACAAAACAGCCATATGTATGGTATTGTGAAATCTGATCATTGTGGGTTTTTAAACATTTTGCCGTGGTCAGAACATAACACGTGTGTTTAATTGGGAGTGCAGCGTGGCCCACTCGAACAGTAAAGTTAACACATCACAAGCCCAGGAACCTCATTTCTTTTCATGAGCCCACAATGCTGAACTGTTCTGTCCTGAATGGGGAGGATGCTGTCTTCCTGGCTCTAGTGAGATCTTCTGACAGCTCCCATTTTTTGCTTCATTTTTAGCCATTCACATGGTTTTTAAATGGTTTCATCAACAAACGGATGAGTGGACTGGACATGAATGCTAGTGACAATGAAAAACCAAAGGTCCCTCTTTTTTCTACTTTCAAAAATGCCTTTACTCCTTCACCCAAAACATTTCTTCTTTCCATGGGAGGTTTGCAGACTTGAATCCACCCTTATTGGCTGCGTTAATACTGAGATGAATCGTACAAGTATGCCTTCATCTGGCTACATGGTAGCACTTGTGAAGACTGTCACTGTACCTATCCCCGTAGAAACAAGCTTTCCCGGACACCTGTGTGGCTCAGGGCATGATCCTGGAGTTCCGGGATAAATAAATAAAATCTTTAAAAAAAAAAAAGAAAGAAAGAAAGAGAAACGAGCTTTCACGTAGCATGCTGTTTCTCAGATTTTCCCTCATTTTACAGCTTTATTTTTTTCAAGATTTGTATTTATTCATGAGAGACAGAGAGGCAGGCTTCCCAGCAGGGAGCCCGATGTGGGATTCAATCCCAGGACCCTGGATCACACCCTGAGCTGAAGGCAGACACTCAACCGCTGAGCCACCCAGACGTCCCCATTTTATAGCTTTAAATAGGACAACCACTTCATCTCCTATTTCTATTATGATGTTTGAAATTTCCCTAGGAATTCCACCTTGTATTAGAATCAGTTATTTTACTGACAACCTAAATTTTTATATTCTCCTATGTGTTTCAAGTATGAATTTTTATTTATTTATTTATTTTTTTTGGTGATTTTTATTGTACCATTTTGGTGTTAATTTATCTTCTTGAAATGGAAGCATGTAATTAAGCGGCTGGGACATTTTTAAGTTTTGCAATTCTGAGTCTCCAGTTTTGAAAAAGTAAGTTGTTCTTATCTGTTACTTTCTAAGCAAATTGGGGTAGCAGACCCTGCCACCATAATATAGTGCACAGTCCTGGAAGTTAGGGAGATTCCAAAAACAAAACAAGAATGTGTGAGAAGAGCTTGCTTCTAGAAACTTACTTTTGAACATGCTCAATGATCTATGAAAAACAACATGATTTTTGTTCTGTTTGTTCTGCAGCTTCCATGAGGCAGTCTCAGGCTGTACCTGCAGATATGCGCCCGGAGATATGGATTGCACAAGAGTTGCGGCGTATTGGAGACGAATTTAATGCATATTACCCAAGGAGGGTAATGATGTTTTATTTACTACTTCTCCTCACACCCTCGCCCTCCCCACAATTTTTTTTTCTTTAAGGTTACTAGTAAAAATTCCATACTTATTCTGGAAATGCAAGGTATTACCTATATGTGACCTACCAGTGTTTCTCCTTGTCCATTTTCCATTTGAAAACGTTTTATGGATGAATTTACATGATGGTAATTAAGTAGAATATAGTACAAGGTTGCAGAGGGATTTCAGTGAGCAAAGACCTTAAAGCATTCATGCTAAGAAAGGGGTTAGTGATATGCCTTGACATATTCCCACATAAATAGTAGCATAGTTTTCAATCTGTATAGAGGGTTTCTGCGTTCCTGTTGGGCAGTTGGGGTCAAAGTTAAAAACCTATTAAAACTGCCATTTTCGCTCAGCCAGAGGGGGCAATGCCCGCAGTAGTCCTGTAATGGTGAGCCTGGAGCTTGGCAGGTGATGAGTCAGAGCAGGAGAGCTATTGCCCATTAGTCCATGCTCTGTCCTTGAGTTCTCTCAGGAGGCCATTAACCAATAGTCTGGGATCCAGGGTATAAAAATTGTATATGCCAAATTGACTGCCACTTAAATTTTGAGGTGTGCTATTGGTTAAAAAGAAAAAAACTGCTCTTTGTTTTCTGTAGACACAGTATATTTTGTTGGTTTTGCCTATTGGGGCAGTAGACATTACCGTTTGGACACCTTTTGCCCATGGAAAACATCTCAAAATATATAGGCTTGAACTCTGGAAGTCAGGGCGGTTACGAGCATATGTGAGTATTTCTTGTAAAGGATGCACCAGCAGATGTGTGATAGAACGTAATTTTGGCTTGTTTTACACTTTTTCAAACAATCAAGTATGAGGATCTTTCTGTTGACTCATCCAAAAAGAAGATACATCTTCTTTTGTAGAAAAAGCTATAATTGTAACTATCATTCTCTCTTACTGTGTCACTGGTCTGCTGGCTCCTTTTTTTTTTTTTAATAAATTAATTTTTATTGGTGTTCAATTTACCAACATACAGAATAACACCCAGTGCTCATCCCGTCAAGTGTCTCCTTCAGTGCCCGTCACCCATTCACCCCCACCCCCCGCCCTCCTCCCCTTCCACCACCCCTAGTTCATTTCCCAGAGTTAGGAGTCTTTATGTTCTGTCTCCCTTTCTGATATTTCCCACACATTTCTTCTCCCTTCCCTTATATTCCCTTTCACTATTATTCATATTCCCCAAATGAATGAGAACATACCCTGTTTGTCCTTCTCCGATTGACTTACTTCACTCAGCATAATACCCTCCAGCTCCATCCACGTTGAAGCAAATGGTGGGTATTTGTCCTTTCTAATGGCTGAGTAATATTCCATTGTATACATAAACCACATCTTCTTTATCCATTCGTCTTTTGATGGACACCGAGGCTCCTTCCACAATTTGGCTATTGTGGACATGGCTGCTAGAAACATCGGGGTGCAGGTGTCCCAGTGTTTCATTGCATCTGTATCTTCGGGGTAAATCCCCAGCAGTGCAGTTGCTGGGTCGTAGGGCAAATCTATTTTTAACTCTTTGAGGAACCTCCACACAGTTTTCCAGAGTGGCTGCACCAGTTCACATTCCCACTAACAGTGTAAGAGTGTTCCCTTTTCTCCGCATCCTCTCCAACATTTGTTGTTTCCTGCCTTGTTAATGTTCCCCATTCTCACTGGTGTGAGGTGGTATCTCATTGTGGTTTTGATTTGTATTTTCCTGATGGCAAGTGATGCAGAGCATTTTCTCATGTGCGTGTTGGCCATGTCTATGTCTTCCTCTGTGAGATTTCTCTTCATTCATGTCTTTTGCCCATTTCATGATTGGATTGTTTGTTTCTTTGCTGTTGAGTTTAATAAGTTCTTTATAGATTTTGGAAACTAGCCCTTTATCTGATAGGTCATTTGCAAATATTTTCTCCCATTCTGTAGGTTGTCTTTGAGTTTTGTTGACTGTATCCTTTGCTGTGCAAAAGCTTCTTATCTTGATGAAGTCCCAATAGTTCATTTTTGCTTTTGTTTCTTTTGCCTTCATGGATGTATCTTGCAAGAAGTTACTGTGGCCAAGTTCAAAAAGGGTGTTGCCTGGCTGGCTCCTTTTTTTCCTGAATGTTACAGCTTCATATAAGCATCTCTTTAAGATTTTTTTCACTTTTTTTCTTTTCTGGAAGAAGTCATGCTTAGAATACCCCAGTATTCGTGTCCTGCTTTATTTTTTTTAATAACAAATTTATTTTTTATTGGTGTTCAATTTGCCAACATAGAGAATAACATCCAGTGCTCATCCCGTCAAGTGCCCCCCTCAGTGCCTGCCACCCAGTCACCCCCACCCCCACCCACCTCCCCTTCCACCACCCCTAGTTCATTTCCCAGAGTTAGGAGTCTTCCATGTTCTGTCTTCCTTTCTCATATTTCCTACCCATTTCTTCTCCCTTCCCCTCTATTCCCTTTCACTATTATTTATATTCCCCAAATGAATGAGACCATATAATGTTTGTCCTTCTACGATTGACTTATTTCACTCAGCAGTGTCCTGCTTTAAACATTAGTCTGTCTTTTAGCTAGCTGTCGCTGTTAATGAATGAGACCTGTTAATTGCCTTTAGTCCCTTTGTTTTACTGTCCATACGATGCCTCTCGGCTTTTTTTAGAAACACGTGGAGACATCTTCCCATTGGCAGAGGGTCTTTCCTTTATTCCTTTAGTATAGGGTCTCTGTGAGGGAGCCAGGGATGTTCTGAAAATTCACATTGGATCCTCTTCAGACCTTCCTATGGGGGATGTGTGTGTGTGCGCGCGCACATGTGTGTATGCACACATGTGCATGCATGTATATTTGATGGGAAATATGCTATAGTGTGATTCTGTTATTAAATGAGAATTGTAACATCTATGAATAGGTTTAGGAATTTCTCATGTGGCCATCTTGAGCTGGCAAGAATATCTAACATCCTACCTCTGACATTCCTGGTGTATAAATCCCTTCTCAGCCTGGCCCTGAAATGGTAATTGTTTTTGCAAAGTTGACTGTTTCATAATTTGCCACCATAGTTACTCTCCCTCTACCCCCCAGCTCCTTTCCCTTGGTTTCCCTGAAGAGATTTCAGTGTTCCTGTGTGTGACTGGACTTGACCGTCTTAGTGACCAGGAGAGACTGGTCGGAAGCAAGACCCCAGTGCATTCGTGATGACTTCATGCTGGGGTGGGAGGCTGGGGGGCATGTCCATCATTAAGCAGGAAAAGATGGCGGAGTGGCCTCTCAGGGTGAGCCTAAGCAGCAAACTGACAGGCATGCTGGACCTGCCTCTTTCTCCATCTTGAAGGGGTTTATAGATGTCCTTAGCCCAGAACTGGATGGGGCTGCCCAAGAAAGAGGAAGCTGTGGACCCTCATGCCTTCAGAGCCCAGAAACTCTGGATGCCAACATGAGCCCACATAGCTCCATTCTCAGGGATTAGACCAGGGCCTTGGCCACAGAGCTAGATGTCTTGTGAGGATATTGTGTATGTTTCTCTTTAAACTTACATGAGGTATCAGTGACTTTGTAAGGTTTCCCCTTGGGCCTGTCCAGATGGACCTGGTTGATGCACCTCCATGGTGGCCTGTGTGGTCAGCATTAAGACATGGGCCAAGTGTGGCATGGTGGTTGGTGCAAAGCATAGGCCATCTAGGTGGATGGTTCTAGTCACATGCAAATGGGACACATACTATGGGATTATGTTCATTACCTTGTCTGTCCATGGGAGGTGAGAGAACAGCATCTAGTGGATTACATCCTTCTTCCCCTAGTCTTCTCCCAGTGTTACTTCACTGTAATGTTTAAGAGGACATTTGAGATGACCGTATCTATTTATTCAAATGAGATGCGACCTCTTTGTTCTTACTGCTTCTGGTAAAATAAACGTAAGTTAATTTCCTTGCAGTATCACACTATTTTCTGGTTATATAAACCTTATTTTGTATCTCTTTAAAAATAATGAGCCAATGGGAAAATGCAGTCACTAATAATTTCAGGGACTCTAGCTTTCCTAGTAGGCTGGGGATGTTGGGAGAGGTGGAAGGACAGACTCTAGCTTATAACCTGATTTTTCTCTAATGAAGGCAAATACATTCTCCAGATTTTATTAATTGCCCATTCAGAACACCAGACTCTAAATTGTGACACCGTGACCCCCAAAACTACCGACAACCTGTCTTGCTATTGTTGGTTAAAAATAATTCATAGTCTGCAGTGTCACTGGTTGGTCTGTTGTTGAATACCGGGGATAGAAATCTGGGGAGGAAATGGGAGGCCATAGTGGAAAGTCATGCATTCATGTCACTTGCTGTCTCCATGGGGGGAGTTCCTTCTTGGTGAGTGGCGTGCATCCCCACCTTGCTTTATAATGGTTGCTTTATAATGGATTTTTAGCACTTTAAATATTTAGTGTCTTTATTTGCTTAAAACTATTATAGTACCTTTTCTAAAGTGTTGGTCTTTTACTGCCATGAGCCTTTCGAAGCCTGACAGGATATTTTCCCATTTTTTCAGTTAGAGCAATAGAGGAAGGTGTCGTGTAGTTGTCATGTGTTCAGTCCACTTAAGGGCAGTGGGGAAGCGTATGACACGGAGCTGTTGGAGTCTGAATCCTTGAAGGAGGAGGTGAGAGAGGCACAGGTGAGCGCAAAGTCCCAGTGCATGTTCCCCCTTTTTCTTTTGTGACTCCATGTAATTGCCCCCAAACGACCCTGCCAGGGCAGAGTGACCCATGTCCCCCTCTGGTCTGGTAAGTTCAACTGCTCCAGGTCTGGTGTATTTTTGTAACTTTCTGTTTTGAAATCATTTCAGACTTACCTATAAAAGTTGCCAGAATGGTACAAAGAACCCTCTTATCTCTGCCACTGTTATGACCACATTGCCACATTTGCTTCACTGTTCTCCCCCTTTATACCTGCATACGTATTATTTTCTGAACCCTTTAAGAATAAATGACAGGTGTGGTGTTCTTTTCCTGTTAAGTACATCGATGTGTATTTCCTAAGAATAAGAATATTTCCCTTACATAACCACAGTGTAATTCTCAAAATCAGGAAATTAGCAATGTTACAGTACTGTTACGTAATCTGTGGACTCCATCCAAACTTTACCAGTTATGCCAAAAATGTCCTTGATAGTAGGAGAAAAAAAAGTTGTTTTCTGGCCCAGGGTCCAGTTTAGAATCACATGTTAAATTTAGTTGTCTTATTGCTTCAATGCCATTAATTTGGAGCCATTCCCCTGGCTTGGTGACCCTGACATTTTTGAAGGGTCAGGACAGTTCTTTTATAGATTCTCCCTGAATTTGATTTGTCCAATGTCTCCTCATGGTGACATTCAAGTTTTGGCTCTAGGGCAGGGATACGACAGGGGGCAACATTGTATCTTTCACCCTTAACTTTGGGAGGCATGGGTAGTCCTTCTGTCTCAATACTGGCGATGTTGACTCTGGTCAAAGGGGACATCTTCCATGCTAATGTCAGTACATTTCCATCTCTCATGGAAGGAAAATGTTTGTAAAGAAGAACTTCCTTTCCCCATTATACGTTCATCTCCTTCATCAACCTAAATTTACGGGTCTCTGTTTCATTCTACAGGTTACTGTCCATTACTCTCAGTGCTTATTTTGATCCTCAGATTGGCCGAGATCTGGCCAATGTCAGCACCCTGGTGTGTTTTCACCTGTCATTAAGCATTAAAGTAGTGCAGGCACACATAGAACATATTACAGGGCAAAACCCAAGAGCCCTTGGAGGTAGTATAACTCCTAGAAGGCCTATGTTGCTGAAATGCCTATACCCGCATAGTGCCCTTTACTGTTCCAGCTCCCCATGCTCCAGCTCACAGTGAATGCTGGGGAACATGGATGTCGGTGGGCTTATAGGGAAGAAGATTTCTCGGAGAAGTTGGATCTCTAGCTTTATGAAGAGGGCGAGTGGCTTTCATGTAGCTGAGTGGTGCAGCATGGAGCACAGTGTGCTTACCATCCGTTCTCAAGGCAATGGTGCCCACTTGGATTGGATTCTTAGCCATGGGCCAAGGGTGTAGTCCAAGTCCAAGCACAGGCCAGATGCTTCTGAACATCAGAACCTGTGCTCTTGGGGTAATTAGACCCATCATCTACCCCATGTGTGTCTCCCCTGTGCCTTCCAGCCAGGTGGTCCAACCTAGGTTGCTCTGTGCACAGGAAGACTGCTCTTGGTTGACAATGACTTGGGGATGTCCTGCCTGTGGACTGCAGTGAGCAGCATGTAAAGCTACGTCAGATTCTCTAGATGGGCCAAGAAGTGAAAGAAAACCCTTTCATTGTTGGATCCTAAGAAAACAGTATGTCTTTTGTTGACACTGCCTACTTCCATGTCCCAGGCATGTGTGGGCATGAATAGACCGAGCTGCAGGCCTATTGAAGTATAGCACTAAAGCAGACCAAGTAGAGCGAGAGAGGTGGCTTGCAGACTGGTCTAGATGGAAACAAGAGTTTAGTGGAAGTGTCACCCATTAGCATTCTCATATACTACATGCGACTTTGAAATCTTCCTCTGCTATCCTTCTTACGACATGAATCCTCTGTGCTTATTCTCGGATTTATGATATTATTCTGTAGATAAGGTACAAGGAAAAGCATAAACTGAACATAAACTCAGGTATGTGTGTTCTCTGACTACATTTTGAGGCCCTCATTAATTGAACGTAGAAGTTAATAAAATAATCCACTTTTTGTTACTGTCTGAGCAAAGAGTAGTGGAAGATGTGCATATGAAATATTAAAATTAGACCTATCTCGTGAGCTAGTGAGTTGCCCATGAGGTGATAGAATAAGTTTTCATTGCAAAAACAGTTGTGAGTAGCTTAAATGAATTAGTGCCCATCATTCATCTGTGATACAGTTTGCAGGTTCAGTGAGCATTTTCCTTGCCTTTGAAGGATGTAGTGCAGTGTTATGGTTTCAGGAGCCTTCGATCAAAGATGATCGAAGAGTCGCCCTTCATGTTTCTCCCTGGGACCTTTGAGACAGCACGTGATTCAGATTATCGTGATGGTGACTGGATGGCAGGTTTTTTTTTTCTTTGTTTCTTTCTTTTTTGATGGCAGGTTTTCTGAGCAAAGGTTTGACAGGACTTAGGGATAAAGCGTGACCTTACAGGAAAGCAGGGCTCACGAACAAGTGTGAGAACTTTGGAGTGAGGCCTTGAATCCTGACTCCATCCATCATATTCTCTAGGGCCCCCATTTTCTCTCCATCTCCTAAGGATGTGGTGAAGGTCACAAATATTAAGGGATGGAGCTAAAAATTGCTGTCCTCTCTTGTCCAGCAGTTCTGGTGTCTCTCTGAAATGTGTCAGTTGGTCTTCAGAGTTCAGAGAGATGCTACTAACTGTGTTCGCCTTTCAGTACTCTCTGTCTGGGGCACAAGTTGTATTGGACCTTACTGATGCATGCTGTGTCTGTCTGGGTGTACACAAACAGGAGACGAGACTGGGTCGCTGGGGTGTGTTCACATGGCTGGGTGGGCATGGCGCTGGGCATGACGGTGTTCGTTCGCCCTGCCTGCGGCAAGTGCTCCATCCGTCTGTGGCAGGTGCGCACACCTGCATGGCTGTCTTGCAGGGAGGGGGACCCAGGCCATTCACACATAACCATTCAGAGGTGCAGGTGCCCAGAGGGGGACTTCAGAAGTCTGACTGGGGTTTTTTAAATTCTTGAGGAGGAAATGCAGATGCACATGAGGCGAGGCAAGGCTTGACCTGATGTCTCTCACCATCCTTCGCTAGACTTATCCCAGCTGAACCAGAGCAGAGAGGTTTGGGTTGTGGTTACAGTGCATTACATCTCATCAGCATTTTACTGAGGCTGGGCCATTTCGGGGTGGTGTATTCCTGCTCTGACACTTGCATTTTACCCAATTCCTAAAATTAGAGCTTCACATGAGCTGTAGGAACCATCTCTGGCTTCTCAGTGGTTGGCCACAGGGCAACTCCAGGGTGATGGTTGGGGCACAGGGTAGAGGGTCCTTCACAGCAGCCAGCCTGAGGTCTGAGGTCTGAGAGCCGATAAGTTAGAGATCTACCTGGTTGAGGGGTGTGCTGCCCTGCTAGAAGAAACCCAGTGTACCCCAGGCCTGAATGGAAGTTAACCTGTGAAGCGATTGTTTATTCTACAAAAAGCCTGAGCTATAACACTTTCTTTGAAATGATGCATCAAAAATGGAGAGTCGGATTCATGCAAATGGGAGTTTTCTGTGACCGCACTGCCGGAGCAGGTCAGTGGCAGCCGGGAGTACTGTGGGAGCGCACACTCCTGCTGGTTGAGTGGGAGCACCACATCCGGGGGAGGGGCTCCCGGCCCCCTTTCCACAGCTGTGTTGACATCATAGAGCGCTAGGCACAAGCTATGCAAATACCCCGTTGCCGTGGTGATGAATAGAAAGTGAATTTGGTGTTCCGGGCAGCCCTGCAACTGCAGCAGCCTGACACCTGAAATCAGTAGGCTATCAAACCTGCTCTCTAAGATCTGGGGCAAAGTGGAAAGACCCCCACCCCATATCTTCATAAAGGTCGTCCACGTGGCAGTCCCCTTTCTTCTCTGATCTTTGTCTCCATCACTTGTCATTTAAAATAACTATTTAGAGGGCAACCTGGGTAGCTCCAGTGGTTTATTGCCGCCTTTGGCCCAGGGCATGATCCTGGAGACCTGGAATCGAGTCCCACGTCGGGCTCCCTTTGTGGAGCCTGCTTCTCCCTCTGCCTGTGTCTCTACCTCTCTGTTTCTCTTGAATAAATAAATAAAATCTTTTAAAAAATTAAAATAAAATACTATTTAGATTGATGGAGGTTCTGAATGGGCAGAGGTGGTCTTCCATCCATCATGATCAGTGGGGCCATACTCCGTCCCCTACCCACCCTGTCACCTTTGATTATGGCAGCACTGTCCCAAAGATGCCTTATCAGCCCCTAGGGGAGCAGACACCATCCAGACATTCACGTGACACATCCTTCCTTGCTGATCTGGAGCAGACATTCCCCCGTTTGTCAGAGTCTCACAGTCAAGAATTCAGTCTCTTTTAATATGTTATCACTCAAAGGTACAGCCTTTTAAAAAGAGAGAAAAAAAAAGGTTTAGGACCTTTTAGGTATTCTGTGTTGAAATTTTATAAGGAAGGGGTTTTTGAACATGTTTAAAAATTGCTCTGTGTCTCAAGAGTTCTATAAGTATGCCTTGCTTTTTCGTTCATCTCTCTTAGAATTTGCTGTTGAGCTCTCTGCTAGGATGGTGATCATCATTCCACATTTCTCTTGTTACTTTGACTGCCAGGAAATTCTTGGCCAAGCTGTGGCTCTTTGACAGTAGACCTTAGCCCTGCTTCCCAGGATAAGCCTCTAAGTCTCTCTTTCTTGAAGTTGTTTCTGATCTCTCTTAACTTTTGTGTTTTTTGCACCGTGCACATGTGTTTATGGGTCAGCTCCCTTGAGTAATGTTGAATGTATATATGTGTTGTACTCACTGAGTCGTTTGGCCCAGCCTTTGGAGCATGTATTGGTGAGCTTGTGTGTTCCGTCACCTCATCTGTGAAATGTGGAGGAGAGCTAGACTGGCCCACAGCATTGTTGCAAAGACTGCAAAGGTGTGTGGCATGTCATTTTGTTGAGTGGTGGTGGTGAGTGATTCCTCTGAACCCCAGGCTAGGGCGCACAAAGTCTGAAGGCCTGATGTATCTTGGGGGGGCTTTTTAGAAGCTGGGCTCACGTCGGCCTGGGGGGAGCGAAGCCGAGTCCAGAGCTGCACTCTACAGGTGTGTGGTGGTTACTCTGACCAGTCCTCTGGGCATCCTGAGTTTGGGTTCTTTTTTGTATCTGCATACCTGCTTCCCTGGACTGGCAAGAGAGGATGTTTTGCCCTAATCATTTTCGCTTTTAAATGTAATTAAATTCTGATACTGCGTTGGTTGTCTTGAGCGTAAGTTGAAGATGGTCCTTGTGCAGACACCACCAGGGCAGCTGGTACTGTATATCCAGTCATCCTCTCTCTTCAGCTGCTATAGACAGAGTAGTCCCAGCCCCACCCCCAGCCTGAGTCATGTGTTTCAGGGCCATAGAGGCTCAGAGTGCCCCAACTCCCACCCTATTGTATGCCCTGTATGCCGTCGGCCCAAATAAGTCTGCCTGGACCCTGCTCAAGGACATTCCCTTGGCACAGCCCCACCTCCAGCTGCCACCCAGGTTGAACCCATGTTCTCTGGATATAAGGGGATGTAAAGGAACTATTTGGGGATTCCTTGCTGAATGTTCCTGACACTATCTCCAAGGACACTTTTCAGATCTTCCAAGAAGAGTACCTGAGTCTCAACCAGGGAAACTTGTCTCAGCTCTGCACCTTCCCGCCCATGCTCTCCCAAGGTCCCACTTACCCCTCTGCTTTCTCTGCCATTTTATTTACTGTGTATTGCTATTGTTCTGTTACCTGTTTATTTGTACAGCTCCTCCTCATCAGAGTGAAGAGATGCTGTTGCATTTTTCTTGCTACAGGAAGGACCCTCGGCATCTTGATGCTGCTCTGGCACAGGTCTCCCATTTTACTGGAATGTGTAGGTGTCCTTTGCCTGTAAAGTAAGGACCTGAATCCTGATTCTAGAGGCAGGGCAGTGACAATGGCTTTCTTACTGACTGCTGTCACCATTGGTAGCACCCATGGGTAACCCTCAGGCTGGGCTGTCTGTGCATTGCTGTTCTGCACTCATTACTCATGACACAGGTATTGCCTATCAGATCTAATGGATGCAGACATGGCTTTCAGAGTCGGGGGCTCCAGGAGCCCCTGGCTCAGATAGGATCATAGACTGTCAAAATTGGCTTCTGGAGGGTCAGAGCTGAAGGTTGAAGGAATCCTCTTCTAGACACATGGGATGGCCATAAAAGTTAATTACCACAAAGAATACAGTTCCTGGTCTAGATCACGGTGATAAAAAGACCCAACAGGATGGGGTCCTACACTTCAAGCATTTGTGATTGTGTGGTGTGCATGTGTATGTGTGCACACACACAAGAGTTCACTGTAATGTATAAATTGTTTATATTTAGTTTTTTTAATAATCTCCTTTACCCAAATGCATCCTATTAATGTATCTTCCTAAAGTACTTTACTGAGTTAGATTAAAATAGCATTACACCACTCTGATCTAAGAAGTGTTGTTTTTCTAAAGAGGGAAGGACCAAGAATGTTCGTTAAGCATGAGAGGGTGTATTCGTTTGCTAGGGCTGCTGTAACAAAGTACCGTGGGGGCAGGGCGGGAGGGTGGTGGCTGGGGAGTGTGTTAAACAACAGAACTGTGTTTATTCATAGTTCTGGGGGCCAGAGGTCTGAGATCTTGGGCTGGTTGTGTTGATGGCAATGTACTTAGAGCTGATCGCTGGGGCTTGGCTGGGCCACCTCACTTGCTGGCACTCTCATGCCACCTGCCCCACGCTGGTTTCACTGGACAGATACTGTGTGCTCCCCTGAACAAGCTCATTCGTAGGGCTGCAGGTGCTAGAGGGCAGCGAGTCTGCAGGAAACAGGAGCTGCCCATCCTCCAGCTGCTGCGCAATGGGCCGTACACGCTGAGCTGCGCCAGCTTCAGCCAGCTGTGCCAGCCGTCAAGGGTTTTTGGGACTGGCGTGGCCTTTGAATTTAGTCGTAATGGCTTCCTCCATTGAATGTTGTCCAAAAGCAGTTTTTCGCTGGCTTAAAAGCGTGTGCCATGTTGTTATGCTTCCCAAGAGGGCAGGTGTCTGCCTGTCCTTCCTGAGTTGTATGTAGCATCTTCTTGCTTGTCAAGGATCAGGTGTTTCTTTTGCCAAAATCTCCAGCCTGGCCCCTGCCCCTGCCCCTTGCCCGGCTTCCTTTAAACACCACCACCACCACCACCCCATGTCCTTTACTTTGAAGATACAAAAGCAGAACTCTAAAAAACTTGAAAAGACTTGTGTCACGATGGGACTCTGATCTACTACTGTCACAGCCACCCTCATTCACCCAATATCTTCAGAGGGTGGCTGGAGGATTTCTCTCAGACGCTGCCAGTTCTGGTATATAAAATTAGCTAAATGTAAGCGGTTGGGGATCTGTCCCTGATGTGACCCTGTCCCCTCGCTGGTGTCCTTTTGACCCCATTCTCTGGTCTCACGGAGGCTGGCAATGACACCTGGCTGACAGGCGATTTCCCACCTTGAAGTAATTGCTTAGCTCTGCATGCACTTTCTTCATTTTAGTAAGCCGTGGTTTTATTTTGAATAAGCCTCTTTCAACCTATTAATATTAGGCTCAACTAAAATTAACCTTCCCCTAAATTATTCTCACACAGAAAAAAGCACAGTAATTTTGAAAGTTAAATCAAAACAAAGCAATCTTGTGTGTAAAACAGATAAAAATCACAGACTGTGGTTACAGAGCGCCTGTACAGGAATCGCTTACAGAAAGCTGATTTCCTCCAGTCTGGTTATGGAAGGAGAACGGGAAATGCCCGGGCCTTATCACAATCCCATTCTGTCAGACAAGTGCTTGAGAGCTCGTGTAAACAGTCGCAAATGGGGGGCTTTGCTGGCAGCTGGTGTCTATGGGCAATGTTGGCCTGTGACAGGGGACACAGATTCCCAGCCCTGCTGGTGGCCGGCAGTTCCACGGTGGCGTGTGGGAAGTTTCACCTGCCCAGGGCTCGTGGAGAGCCCGAAACAGCAGAGAGCTGGTCTCAGGAGTAGATGACTCTCGTGAAGGAAACGACCAGGATAGACCTGAATTGTGAAACCGGTTGTAGCTCCTGGCATAGAGGCAGGTGTGTCCCTTGCTGCCTTTCGCTGCTCGAATGTATACCTTGCACTTGACCTGCAGAATAGATTAGAACTCCAAGGCAGGCCGCCCAGAAGACCTGAGGACCCCTGAGACCTTTAATCTAGCAATTTCCTTCTTGAACGGTTTCTCAGTTTGTCATAAACATCTGGTAGTCACTGGCCAAGAGGCCTTTTTTAGATTTTTAATTGCTCTTTGCTACCTACAAGGGTTGGGAGGCTGGGGGTTGACCCGTCGTGTCTGTGACGGTGGACACAGAGCTGTGCCACCAGTGTTTATATAGCAGAGCCACCCACCAGCAGCCAGAGGCACAGCGGCGCATCAGTGCTCCGCTTGATTTAGCTTCTTAGGACAAATTACCCCAAATCACTGGTTTCTCAAGTAGACTGTAGTTACCAGAAATTCACCCTTACGGGAGTCAACATATTTGAACATTATTAACCTGGGTAGTGAAGACCGTTCCTTCACCTCCTTCTGCCCCCACCGCCACCCCTCCCGCTCCCCAGGGCACCAACTCCAGTGACTTTTCTCAGCACCTGCACGCAGGTCGATGGTGTTTCCCAATCGAGGTAGTCCTGGCCAATGATGACCTCGCCTGTAGAAAAGAATACATGTTTTTAAAGGGGCATACAGAGATTTGGGGATTCTCTTGGTGGTTCCAAGCATTCTTTTGGTTGCTTTTTAAAGAAGCACATCACGTGGTGTAGTGTACTGCTCCTTACGCAGCGACCTCTCCCTCCGTGGGGGGAGGTAGGGGGAGGACTCCCACCTCGCAGGCTCAGGGGAGGACCAGTGCGGAGGGCACAGCCCTCGCAAAGGGGTGCCCTCCTCCATAGCTGTTACGGTGGGATGGGCTGTTCGCTTAATTATAGGCATCCCCCGCCCAAGAACAACACGAGGACTGAGAAACTAAGGAGCTTTCCTATTGTTGTTTCAGGTCTTTTTGAATAATTACCAAGCAGCCGAAGCCCACCCCCAAATGATTATCTTACGACTGTTACGTTACATCGTCCGCCTGGTGTGGAGATTGCAGTGACGACGGGCTCCTTGCAGAGCCAGATGCGTGCAGACATTTCGCTTGTTCAGAGCAACAAGCCCCAGCGCCACGGTGTCGGGGTGCCACTGATTGCCGGGCGGCCTGCGGTTCTCTCCCCGAGAGGGCGCGCAGGGAGGCCGGCCCACGCGTTCCGAGGACACCGCGCTGCATGTGGACTTGCCCTTTCTGTTCACCACACGGCAGAATTTCTAATGGAAGTTTGTTGTGAATGTAAATGAGGGAGGATTCTTCTTTTTTTTTTTTTATTAATGTAAAAATCATGGTTCTTTGGAGCAGGATTTTATGCAAGAATGGTGTTTACACACGGTGTGGGTTTTTTTCCACCTTCTTTAGTAAGAACAGGTTTTTCAAAAAGGAAATGGAAACTTTTTAACCAACTTGTGAATGATTTTTGTACTAAGATTTTAAGAACCTATTGCCTACTCTCAGAGGATTATGTAAACTCTGCAGTGGAAACTGAGCCAGCTAATTGATAAAGCTGCCTTAGTTTATTTTTAGAGATTACTGTACAGAATTTTTAAACGGGAGAGATATGAGATGGTGCCCTCCCTTCCCTGCCATTGGCTCTTTGACATGCTTTTTTTTTTATCATTAATACCAAAAAAGTTCTTATGAAACGAAACTGATTAAAGGGGCGGGGGGGGGGGGGTCTGTGGTCAGCCTGTATTGATATGCCACTCCGGATTGTAAATATTTACCTCCTTAAATTCGATTGCATCTGTGGCAAAATTTTAAAACTCTGTTTTATGTATTCCTCTTTGCTTCCTCTTGTGATGCTCCTCGAGTCTGTCCGGACGCTGATGCACATATTTGGTCCAGTGTATTCTCATGATAAAAGGTAACTGGGTCAGAACGTGAATTAGGATCTGCCCGTGTCAACCACAGCCCAGTTGGTCTGTCTTTTGGTAGCGTACTCACTGGGACGTGCTTGGTGTTGGTTTTCGCCTTTGATGGGCTCCTCATTCACAAGTGTCCTGGGAGAAGGAGTAGCAGTACTAGCACAGACAGGTACTGTACCCCTCGGCACTGTGGGCTTTTCTGGTTGCAGACTTTCCCAGTCACAGATGCATTGTCAGCACGAGGCCACAGATGGTGAATGTGCCCCCTTGCAGCTGAGTTCCTTGGGTTGCAAGTGTTGGAGCTCCCGCCCTCGTGGGAATTGGCGGACGCTGTGGGCGGGGCTTTAGGCAGCATTCCCTGGGCATCCAGGCTTTTTGTCCAACTCCAGGTTTATCTGGCTTTTGATGCCTGACATTTGCTTCCCCTTAAATCCACTTTGAAATAAAGGCTTTAATTCTGCTTTTAGCAGAACCATAAAAATTGGGCATCGGAGCACGAATCTGAAGTGACCTCTCAGCCTTCTGACAGATGTCTCTCTGGCTTGTTCCGTAACTCGGGACAGTTGGGTTTTGTTGGACCATCCTTTGTGTATCCACCTCTGTTGGGGTGCTCGTTTTCTCCACACCTGCCTAGGAGGAATGCAGCGAATGGAGTCACCATGAGTTGGCCCATCATTTCAAAGGCATTAAACAATTTGGAGAGACCCAAAAGATCAGGAAGTGGTGAAAGAGGAGAGGTAGAGATCATTTCGTGAACCCTATAACTCTTTACAGATTTTGAAACCTCAGATCATTAAACAGCTTTTAAAAAGAAAAACGTGATTTTTTTTTTTTCAAACAAATCAGTGCCAACAACTATTGTTTTGCTTTTGGCTCATAGAGGACCAGTATTTCCACGTGATTAAATTAAGGGGGGTCCTTTCATTTGTATCTTCATAATTCTATATAAATATATATCTATATATATCTACAGCATATACACATTTTCCTTTAGGTAGAGATATTTGATTCCAAATATTCTTCCTTTTTTAGAATTTTCTTTTACCACCCCCAAATCTTCTTGGGGTCTTGAATATTTTTAAAGCTGTGTTGAGTGTCAGCTTGTGTTCTTGATGTGTCTTGAACCCCTTTATAGGGTCATAAAGTCCACACGGTTGTAAGGCGGTGGTGGACCTGCTGGACACACACACCAAAGACGTATTTGGTTCTGGGTGCCCCACTCCCACCCCTCCCCAGGATCTCCGTACTCAGTGCCAGTCTCTCTGACTGGAGCACTTTACTCTGTTTCTTCGATACTGCGGCTCCCTGGGAGCGGTGCCCGAGGGCTGTGTGCTGGCCACATAGGCAGGTTTACCTCCGGCTCGGTGGCCTCGTGGCCTCCAGGCTGGCCATGGAAGCAGCTTGTGAGGAAATAAGAGATTCTATGAATTGTAGTATTAAGGAGCAGGATGTTGCACCAGGACTTAAGAGAGATGACTGGACGTCTCTGTACTGTACGTATCTGTTTATCAAGATGCCTCCCTGCGGAAGGTGTGCCTACTATGGTAGACCTTTGATTTTTATTTTTTATTTCTTTTACTTTTTATAGGAAAAAAAATGACTAGATCCCTTTTTGGAAACTGAATGCGGGTTTTGTGCCTTGACCACCTCTTCTCCCGTGAGGTTTGTAGAAAGTGTCCTGTGACCTATCACAGAAATGCAATAAACACATAATAAAGAATCCCATGAGTAATTCTTCCAGTTACCTGTACTCCCACCCCGAAATGAGTTCACGAAGAATTCTCTTTGGGGTTTCAGAGGAACCAGGTCAGACATCCCTTGGATTAAAAAAAATCATACACCGTAGAGAACAGCTTTCTCCTGTTTGCCCTTCTTGATACTGTATATATTTTGACTATTTATTAGATTAGGATTTTACTTACCAACTGAGCCAAATGTCTGTGTGCAATTGTGCTTCCTTTACCTTTCTTGTAAAATTTTGTACAGCATAAATGAGTAAAGATCACTGTTTTTACTAAACTTTTTCAGAATTGAAGACTGTAAATATTGTAGATTCTTTTTTCTGTGTAATGTGTCCTACTGTTTCATGATGCTGTAACTTGTAGAAATGTTGTATATTTATTTCTTGCTTATTTAACGTCTTACGTTCTGAAAAGTGTTGACCTCCCTGCTCCTCACCCCACCCCCCTGCTGTACCATTAGTTGCTTTAACCCTGAGGTGGTGACTGAACCACACGGTCTTCCCCAGGCTGGCCCTCTAGCCTTGTCTCCTGGTCTTTCTGGTCACGCGGATTTAGATTCTTGGGGTTTGCTATCCTTATGATGCAGTTTGTGTTTAGCCACCGATGAGAGACCATAAATATGGCCAGCTACAAAATTCTACAAGAAATAGCCAGTTACTTTCTGTTCCATAAGCGCTAGCTAGCTTCTCATGGAAGCAAATTGTATGAATGCCAGGCCATATCTCTTTTACTATTATTAAAGTATTATTGGAGGTTGGGACAATTTTTTTTCTATTGAAAATTTATCCCTGGCCATTCAGTGTTCAGAAAACTAAAAACAGGCCCCTTCTGGAGGTGCTGCCAGGAGTTCAGGGCAAGAGGAAAGGACAGGTGAGAGAGGTTGCTCCTGCCTCGAGAGTGATGTCAGGTCCACTTCATGCCGCTAATCCCTTTATGGCAACTGGTGAGTAGTAGTTGAATTATCCCCCACCCACCACTGTCCTGTGCTTTGAGGTGTGGACTTAATGGTAATTGTACAGACCCCGCCCCCCCACCCCCCACACCTTTTCCCCCAGCCCTGAGCCGTGTGGTTCCTACATTTGATCAGCCTGCTTCAGGTTGTCTTCCTTCTGCTTCTTTCTTGGCTTGGAGAGAGATTGGGGGTCCCACGATACTGGATGTGAAAATGTGGAAGCTGTAGAAAGACTTCCTAGTGGGTCCCATGTCAGTAGATGGTTCTATCATCCCTGCTGATTTAGCCTGGTGCCTGTGTGTGTCCACTCCCCACTCACATGTGTGCAGGGATGTGACCACACGTGACGCTAAACCAGCTGAGGTGACTCCTGTTCTCCAAATGGCATTGTATTCAAGAAGCATCCTCAAGCTCCCAGCTAGGTAACTTGACTACTTTTATTTGGGAATCAGACTTTAGAAGCTCCCCTAAGTTGTATGTCTAGGTTCTGTGACCACTAGTTACTGTATCAGGACTCATCAGGTACCCATTTATAAATAGCACTGATCTGTCTGTATACTGACCCGTCACTAACTTGTTTCCTAGGACCCAGCGTATGTAGCATTTGTATTGCGATTTCCCTGGCTTACTTGTGTTTTGCACTGATGAATTTTGACAGGGTAATTGCCACTTTACTTGTGCAATACTGCTGTAAATAACTGCAGATTTTTTTTAAGAAACTTAATCTTTTATGTTCTTAATGAAGTTTATATAAATAAAACTTTCAACTAATTTTGGTGAGCTGTTTGATTTGTTTCACAGAGCGGTGGAGACACAGCTGGCTGTTCATGAATATCTACACACCCACACCTCTACCCTTTATCAGTCACAGAATGCATTACCTGTGTGTAGACTTTGTGAGTTCTCGCTTGAAGACAATTCTGTGTAGCATACTTAAAAGCAAACCACTCTTAAAAGTTTTGAAGTGGCTGGCAAGACCTTCTGCACACTTTTCTGCCCACATAGTCAGATATGACTCAGCACCTGGGGGGTAGGGGAGGTGGAGGGTGGGGTACTGGAGCCAGCTCTGCACTGATTAGTGATTAGGGCAGATTCCCTGCCATCCCATCCTGTCTCCCACTTGGAAGAAAAAAACAAAAGATGGGAAGTCTGTTTGACTGCTGGAGAGGACTTGTCTGCAGAGCCAGGCGATGGTCCACAAGTGTCTGGAGCCCTGTTGTGTGAACTTGGTCACAGCTGCCTTGTTAAGTGTTCCCTGAGTGTTGGGGGTGCTGTGCCACATGATGGGTTCGTGAGCTGATTTAAGGATGACAGAGAAATTTAAAAAGCTCTGTTTGGAGGGTATAGGCTATAAAGTCAAATCCGTGATTATATAATTTACCACCTTTGCTCTGAAATAAATCCTGGGAAAATTTAAGATTAGCTGAGCTTTGTTTTAAACTGATAATCTGTTAATGCTTTTCATTTTAATTAGGCAATCAATACATGAATACGGTCTTGTAACTATAGGTATGTGTGTGTATCCATTTATTCCAGATCGTATTTACTTCAAATCCAGCTTGTTTTGACTCCCATCTCCAATCCTACTTCCTCACCAACACACAAGTTTGAATTTTTCCAGATCCTTTTCGTTGCTCTGTGTTTACTTACACCACATTGGTTTTGCCTTTTCTATAAATGCCGTAATTTGTACGGGATTCTGACTTAGCAGTAGGTCTTAGATCTCTCATGACTCCACTTCGTTCTAACCTGCATGAACGAAGCACACACCTGTGCGCTGCTCATCGCCTGGTGTCCTGCTTCTGGCGCTTCTGGATCTTCAGGGCTGCCTGGTGCTGCCAGGTGCTGCCCGCTGCTCCTCGCCAGCAAGCAGGAGGGTTGCGTGCTGTTGGTACGGGAGGCGGGGCATCAGCTTCAGTGGACTCGGGAGAGGCTGCCAACCTGGCTCCACTCACAACCACGAGCAGCACGTGAGAACGCCTGCTTCCCCTCAAACTGCTGCCAAATGTTCGCATGTTCTATCAGCCTGGAGGGGGAAGAGGAGTAGTGTTAGTTGAATTCAGATTTTTCTGTTGACAAATAGGATGATCTTTTCAGCTATTGCTGGCATTTGCCTTATTGATCAAGGCCTTTGCTTAGGGTCAATTGGGGTTTTCGTTTTTTCTGTTGATTAGCTCTATAGAGCAGGAGTAAAAAATCTTGTTTATGTCAGAAATGTCTCTCCTTTTAGTCTGTTGCTACTTTTCCCCCACGTTGTATTATCAGGATCTTTAAATATACGGAAAAGGTGAAAGAATTCTACAGAGAACCCCAATACCCCATCCCCTAGGTTCTACCTTTTGCAATTTGCTATGCTATTTTTAATGTCACCTATCCATCCATGAATCCACCTTACTTTTTGGTGCCTTCCAGAGTAAACCATAGTCCTCGGTACTCATCCCTAAATTCGGCACACATATTACATAGAGTTGTTTTTTTTTTTTTAATAAATTTTCGCTTTTGTGACAAAATTCACACACAATAAAACACATCTTAAGTGTGCATCTGCTACATTTTGGCCAAGGATAAAGCTGTCACCCAAACCCCTATGAAGATGAGGAACATTGCCATCATTCTAGAAAGTTCTCTCATGCTCCTTCCCAGGCAGTCCCTCCTATCCCGCCCCCAGGAGTTAGTTTATGTATTATTGGAGGTTGGGACAGATTTTTTCCTATTGATTTTTTTCCACCATAAATTAGTTTTTGTGGATAGTTTGCAGTCATGCAGTAGGTGTTTTTTGTGTCTGGTTTCTTTTTTGCTCAGTTTTTGAGACCCAAGTTATAATCAGTAACTTCCATTTTATTAAGCCAAGTATTAATTCTTCTGTATGAACAGACTACACTTGGTCCATTGCCTTGTTCACGAACACTGAGCTCTTACCAGGTTGGGGCTAGGAGGAATAAAGCTGCTGTGAATATCCTTTATGTCTTTTTGTGAGTGTTTTATTCGATCATGTGTCTTTTTACTGCCCGTGATGCACTTGGTATATCTGTTACCACTTTAGAAGTCAGATTTCATCTTATTTAAGCTTCTGTAGTTAAAATCTTAAAAGACCTTCACTTTATTTTCCACCCCCAGACAGCTAAGACTCCTCTTTTCTGCACCAGCCTGAAATGGCTTTTGACATCCACCAATTCTCATGTAAGTGATTATTTCTCATTCTTTTTTTTCCATTGATGATTTTGTTTAGTCTACATTATCCTGATTACTATAGTTTCTCTTAATTGAAGCATAGTTGACACATTATACTAGTTTAAGGTGTACAACAAGAGTGGTTCGAAATTATAAACATTACAAAATGCTCACTGCAGTAAGTATGGCCACCATCTGTCACCATACAAAGTCACCACACCATGAGTGTATTCCCTATGCTATACTGTTCATCCATGTGACTTTATCTATTTGACAACTGGAAGCTTGTGCCTTTTAATCCCCTACACCCATTTTGTGGATCCCTCCACCCCACCACCGCCTTTGATTACTATAGTTTTTATGTTTTAAATTTCTTATCCTTAGTTTTCAAGGTTGTTGTGGCCATTCTACATCTTGTCTTAAATGCTTTTCAGAACCACTTTAAGCTTCTCGAAAAGTTCTGTGGGGACCTTGTTTGGGATAATGGTGACATATTAATTTAGGGGAGCACAGTCATTTTTCCAAGATGTTTTTCAAAGTGGGTAGTGTTTATATCCATCTATGAGACTTGCTATTTGATGCTTTTAATACACTTGATTTTTCTTCCATATATCCTGCACACTTCTTTTTTTTAATATTTTATTTATTTATTCATGAGAGATGGAGAGAGAGGCAGAGACACGGGCAGAGAGAGAAGCAGGCTTCATGCAGGGAGCCTGATGTGGGACTCGATCCTGGGACTCCGGGATCACACCCTGAGCCAAAGGCAGATGCTCAACCGCTGAGCCACCCAAGCATCCCTATCCTGCACATTTCTTGTTAGCTTTCCTTTGTGGGAGAGAGAGGGTTGTCCAGCACCCACCACCACCCCCATCCTCTCTTATCTGCACCACGATTTCCTTTTCTCTCCTACCCCTGGTAGAGCTGGGGGCAGAACCATGTCCTAAGCTTGGCCAATCCAACACTCTGAATCTGGAACAAGCGAGGCAGAACGAGGCTGTTGGGAGGGCATGTTGGCGTTCCCTGGCAGCAATGCTCTGCCACCCAGCAACCAGCATACCAGTCCCTGATCTCCCAGCTCCCTGTGTGTTCTGTGAGCCCAGTGCCCACCCCTCCAGTAAGTTCTCCAGGAGCTGAGTTAACCAGAGTGGCTCTCCGTTACTAACTCATTTCCTACCTGTCAGAAAGGACTGAATAAAAAGGTGGTAAGGAGTTCTCTCTAAAGAAAACAAAGTCAGAAGGTGAGAGGTGACAAGCTGATTGTTAAAATTCTCCACTAGGCAAGACCAGATAGGGTCTGTGAGAAGATGGAAGACGACAAGGCAAAAATTCTCCAGCTTGCCTCATTTCTACCATGGCATCTACTTTCCTGAACACTCTGCTTCCTGAGACAAGCACTGAGTCCTTAAAAGAATTCGTGACCAGGAAGATATATTAGAATGTTGCAGGCCCGTTCTAGAATGTGCTGCCATATAATACCTATGTTAGCAAAAGGGACTCGGCAAGGAAAAATCGTCACAACCACTCTCCTTTGTCTCCTTAAAGCAGATTTGGGGTGGGGAGAGCTGGCTCTACCATAATCCCTTATCTGCTAAATAAATAAGATGGAACCTGGACAGACACTCTTAAAATAACACCCTAAAGATGGCATGTTCCATTGTTGACTTTCTGGCCCAGAAGGACATCAGAGACTTTATGCAACACCATTTCTCTTTTAGTAAGTTAGATAGTAGTTTTCCTAAAACATTCTCGTTCAATCCAAGAATGTAGTAAGACCCTACTGTATCCCAGGTACAAATGAAAATATAAAAATGCTTCAGACGAGGACATGCTAGGGAGTTATGTTGCTCCTGGTTTCACAGTCAGTAAGCAGAAAGACCCCTATGAAATTCTGTGGTGGAATCCCAGGGAGCCAGCTGTTTCAGGAGCTGGGAGAGGTGTGGGGAGAAATGTACAGCTCCACCCATGTCTTCCCCGCCTCCCACCCTGAGCCCCCTGTAATGACACCCATAACAACTGGGCACATATGTGTGAGGTCCTGGTCAAAGTAGCTCATCATCTCAAACAGCCCTTTGAAAAAACTGCCCTTCTAATACCCATGTGTCCAGATAGGGAAACTGAGTCACAAAGCATTTAAGCTACTTGCCCAGGGCTACCGAGCTCATCGGTGGCAGGGCCAAGATGAGAAGCCAGTGTGGCTCTCCCAGACCACATAGGAGTTCTCCCTTCTTCCTTTCAGGTCCCAGCAAAGAAGGAGCAGGAGGCTTGAGGCCAGGCAAGGTCTGCCTTAGATGGGATGCCCGGGAGGCCTGCCTTGCCTCAGAACAGTTCCAGGCATTTTGGAGGCTTGTGCCACTGTGGCCTGATCCAGAGCACCTTGAAGGGGCAGGAGGGGGCAGGCACTGGGGGCCCCGTTGCTCACTTGCATCTCTGGCACCAGGGCATTTCAGCTTAATCAGTGGCACCCCTTAGAGGCTCCAGTCCTATGCTTCTTGTGGCAGACCTGCAACTCTTGGTGACCTTGCCTGATGGCCTTTTGTTGACATGTGGGTTGTCTCAAGAGCCCTGGGTGTGGTCTGAACTTCCAGACTGCTGCCTGCG